AGAGAAATTTAAAGAGGTCGTGTGGTCCTAGATGATATGATATATGATGATCTGGACTGGACTCGTCTCATGATAAAAATATCATCTTGCTCACTTAGTTGAATTCTTCGACGGAGTTGATAAGTAAATTGAAACGTGTGTGTCCTTCAAAATTTTTAGAGTTATACCTCTGATGAAATTCCTTGTCCAGTCTGTATTTCTTGCTAAATAGGAACCAGCCATCACTTCCCAGTTATAGAAGCGATCGTAGAATATGATATCGGCTTGCTTATCAATGAATTCTTCGATCGTCCTTAATTGAGGCTGATTGAGATTGACATCACTAGCTCTGACGTATGTGCTGGGTTGTCAACTATTTGCATCATGAGAGCATTCGAAGCTAAACCACATTAGCCGGAGAACTCGCAAACTCTCCGCTTCCACACAACAAATGCACTTTGATCTCTCCAAGAGTGGACCCGTTGCTGTTGCACCTACCTAGCGGCGCTTACTCGTGCGTACTATCTCGTAAACCAGAAGGGCACCAAAGAGCAAACCGAAGGTTGTCCCAACCTTATCAGCACGATGAAGGTGAGAAACACCGGAGAATCCTATCAGAGTACAGAGGCGAGTCAGAGAGTCAGAGTACATGACCCGCGTAATGCGCTGTAATGCGCGTCGATGGGCTCCAATCACAACTTCCAAGTCCACTTCAATGCTATAGACGCCAGGCGGGTAGAGATCGCCTGTGCCTAGTGGCTTGGTAAAGCTTGCTCAATCACAGATTTGGTATCTGGTCCGTGTTTTGGAAGAATATTGAAGAATAAGAGGTTACAGATCGTATAAAGACAGCGTTTATCCTAATATTATCCTGTTTTCTTTCAAACACATAGATTCCTGCCTGCGGCACAGCGCATCATCGTTAGGCGTAAGGGAGAAGAGGGAGTCGTACTTGGCTGTTAAAGTGAAAGGTGTAGAAATGAAGGGGCGGTCAGAACCGAACAGCGCGAAAGTGTCAGTGTGCTAAGTGCTGTAAACAAAAATCGCTTTTTACAGGGCCCGGATATGCAAAGAAACAGCCCAAATGTCGATCATTAGAACTGGTCTACGGAATACTGATAGGTTTTCAAATACGTGGATGACTAAACGGTACAGATTATGCTCTGGTGCGCAGCTAATAATGGGGCGTGTCCGCGCGACTGTGTCTTGTGCAAGGCCGACCGCAATAGGCGCGGCGCCTTTTTTCTTTCGGCAAGCAGTAAGACTATCATATCGTTCGTATCAGTCGTTTCTAGCAGTCGATGTAGGTCATCCGGCAAGTGGTGGGGAACGCATGCGGTGGAGAAAATTAGGCAGAAAATAAAATAAAGGTAAAAAAAGTTCGAAGCACATATGATCCGTTTCTCTTGTTCCTCTAGAGAAATCATCGTCTCGCCAACCCCCAAGTTCATCCGTAAGGATGGGTGACGAAACATGTAGAGGAAAGGGTCACAAAGATGGAAGAAGGGCACCACACAAAGTGGTTAACAAAACGTGTAAGAGGAAAAAGATTTGGTCGTACTTCATAGGTCGAAACAACTGGGGGAGTTCCAGGTAAGGAAACAACTCACACGGCACAGCCGCGCTGCACTGTGACGCGACAGCGGCTGCGGCTCGGTGACGGTGAATCAGCTGATTTCGATGGAATTCGGCTGCAAATTCCCACTTTTTCAGCTCTTCAAGCTTCTAAAGTGGAAGGTGAGTTATTCTGAACAATTTTGAATTGTACTGGCTCTGATTTCCTTTATTTTTATGTCGATTATTATGCTCTTTTCCTTGTATTTTGCCTTATTTCAGGCATTTATTCAAATGGCTTACATTCTTTCAGATTCATTCAGTACAATTTAAATTGGTCAGAATAACTCACCTTCCACTTTAGAAGCTTGAAGAGCTGAAAAAGTGGGAATTTGCAGCCGAATTCCATCGAAATCAGCTGATTCACCGTCACCGAGCCGCAGCCGCTGTCGCGTCACAGTGCAGCGCGGCTGTGCCGCCCCGACAGTCACTGTAAAACCTAAACGGTAAAAAGAGACTTATTGTTGCACTTTGAGAGTTTTGTTACCTTTTCAGTCATTTGCGAGTGAGTACTTGCGACTTGTAACTTATAAATATATTTCTGTATCTATATGTTCGTTATGCTAGTAACAACAAAGTTCTCCGCGATCATTTCTTAAAAGTAGTTTGCTATCGAATGTATTTAAGAAAGAACAGTATTCGCTAAGCTCTATGTTCCCGGTATATAACTGAAACCTTGTTGATGAAGGAACCATACGGTGATGTTTGTGGCACTATAAGGAAATCTGATTACATTGCAGTCGAAGTCTTCCATTTACACAACTTGGTACTAATTTCACGGTTTAGTCTAGGAAATTGCTCATAATTCTACTGATGTGATGTTTTCAGTAGAAAGGGTGTTTTTAGAAATATACAGTAAGTTGTTCATCGAGATCGCTATCCGTTTGGTGCACGAAGAGCAAATCGTCTATTATCTATATGGAATGAACAGCTCACTACTGTTGGATTTTTTGGATTTTCCATAGAGTTATTACGTGACAGAAGCGCAGGTTCTGCACTGTGCGGGCTAGAATTGCCGCCCTGTGAAACATCATTATTATGTTCAAACGTATTGTTTGGGGAAAGACGAAAACTATTACGTAATAGTTAGTCAGTTAGGTATACTAGGTTACTGGCTTCCGTAGTATCTGCAGTTGCTTTTCATTCCTTTACCACCCGTGGAGAAAAAGCATAGTAACCGTTAGTGACGATCATAGATTTGCATTCTTGAAGCAAATATTGAAGAATTCTCGCCCATCCTAAGAATTAGGTCATGTTCCAAGTTTATGAACGTCTCCGTGAGATCCGCAGTGAAAATTTTGGAATTGTCGAATGGGATATGGTCTAAATCTTGACTTATATCAATACCAGCCGGCTTTGCCGGCTGACTCCGGCGCGCCTCCTAGGATACTGCGCGGCTCCGCCGCGCTTACCTTCTTCCACACATTTCATTAGCCGCCTAGTATCTTTTACCCGAACAGGTGGTCAACACTCTTTGACCAATAGCATCATACCTGCTTCTTTCAACACTATGACGGTGTATGGACTGGTGGTAAGGAGCGTTGATCAAGTGGACAGATGAGAGAAGCCGGGTAGTAGTCAGTGCCTGGAGTGCTCTGGAATCGCTTGAAGAATTTTTGAGGCTGACCCCGCTCACCTTGACGCACGCTCCACACACAACAGCATTCTGTCGCCTTAAAGCGTCTTGCTTTGGAATGCACTCCCGCATTCAGCAGTGGAACGCGTTAAATGGCCTCACTAAGGTTGTTGATGGAAGATAATTGTGGTAAGCGTGATTAAGTGAATTGATGCTGTTCATAACATCTCTGTAAACAAACCCATGCATTTGGAATAGAGCTAGCTTAGCGGTCGTACATGATGTCGTTACTAATAAGCAGCGAGGAATGAGTTCTGTTGGAATCATTGAGATCGTTATACTTGAGTCATATCGATCGCATTGTTGTTGTGAGCGGTGAAGCGGATTTTCCCATGTTACCTTGTCAATTTTAGCTCCTGTCACTTCCGTACCCGCCAATAACGCTATCGTCCCTTATGACTACCATCACCCTGTATCGCCTCTCGGATCCGAGGTCCCACGTTGCTGTTACGTTACAAAGATGACCCTCCCTTCCGAAGCCGCTTATCGTATCTTATCAACTGTTATCACTTTCTGTCACCCGCCAATATGTTCCCGTCCCACACCCTATATCACCTCTCGGATCCAAGGACCCACTGTTCCTGTGAGCCGCACTATGAATTTGGTAGTCCTTCCCTTCTAATGCCCATTATCAGATCTTATCAGCTGATATCACATCCTGTCACCTACCAATAATGTTTTCGTCCCACCCCCTATTTCACTGCTCGGAACCAACGTCCCACTGCTGCTGTCACCCGCGTTATGAATATGGTGACCTCCCCCTTCTAACGCCTCTTATCGTATCTTATCAGCTGATATCACTTCCTGTCACCCACCAATAGTGTTCCCGTCACACCGCCTACATCACTTCTTGAAATCAATGTCTCACTGCTACTGGGACCGGCGCTATGAATTTCGTGACACACAGACAGACGCACACACAAACATACACACACACTTACAGACATACTTAGCGGATTATATAGAGTAGGATTATCAGTCGACAAGTATGTCCTAATTGTCGTAGCAATTCTGTATTACTTTGGCGTAAGTAACAAAGTGATTCCCGAGGTGCGGGAAGACTATAAGTAGTACCTGGGCCAAGGGCTCAATAGTGCTGTCATGGGCACCTGGGATGTATCTGATTTCCTTGTATTAGGTTGTCCGGAAAGTTCTCAGCGTTTTGTGTTACTATTTTTTGTACATTCATTGCTGATTAAAAACTCATTCTCCCTTGCGTCTCAGTAGTACATCCTGAAGAGAATTTTTTGCGCTATCTGATGGTATAATTGCCGTTTCACCATTGCTTGATAAACCCCTTTTCCCAAGACTTTTTGAAGCATGTCAAAAGAGCAACTTCGGACGATATTTTCTTCAACTACAAATTGGGTCAATCCGCAGTCGAGACAGCTCAACAAATTAACCAGGTGTGGGGGCCCAATAGTGCTAGAGAAAGCACTGTGCGACAATGGTTCGACAAATTTCGTTCTGGAGATTTCAGCCTTGAAGATGAACCTCGTAGCGGTCGACCTAAAGCAATACCTGACGAGGATTTGAAGGCGTTTGTGGAGGCTGACCCATCCCAAACAGTTCGAGAGATTGCAGAAAAGCTAGGCGTTGGCAAATCCAGTGTTGCAGATGGTCTGAACGCATTGGGAAGGTGAAAAAACTCGATAAGTGGGTGCCCCACAATTTGAGTGACCGGCAGAAATTGGCACGTCTCGAGGTTTCTTCTTCACTGCTTTTGCGCAACGACCCATTTTTCAACCGAATTGTCACCTGTGATGAAAAGTGGATCATGTATGATAACAGGAGACGTTACGGACAGTAGTTGGACGCCGACGAACCACCGAGGCAATTTCCAAAGCCGAATCTTCACCAAAAAAAGGTTGTGGTAACGTGGTAGTCATTGTTGTGGTCCACTATACCTTTTTGTCACCAGGCCAAACCATCAAAGCAGAGTCCTACTGTGAAGAAATCGACGAAATGTACCGAAAATTGCGTCAGCTGCAGCCAGCACTTGTCAACAGAAAGGGTCCGATTCTTTTGCATGACAACGCCCGCCCACACGTTTCACAAATCACTATCCATAAATTGAACGAATTGGGGGTTGAAGTTCTACCTCACCCAC